AGCCCTGCCACTTACTCCACCAGAACCTGAACGCTCAGTTTGTAATGTATGCTCTGATAGAATGATCAAATGGTGAATTTGTGGGAACTGAACTTGTATGGTAAATAGCACAGATCCCCTCAAAATACACCCCAGTCCCTTCTAATGGCTAAGGCATCCTGTCTGGGAACAGTCAAGTGCCTACAAGAAGCCTAAGTGGCCATAAATTTAAGGCATAGTGTTTCATTACCCTGAGGTTCTTAAGCATCTTTCAGCTATGTTTATGTTCTGAAGGGAAAAACATTCATCTGAAGTGTGATCCACCAGAAGACAAACCCCAAAACTCTGCAAAAAATTCTACCCTGAAGTCTCTTTACTGGCCATTAATAGTAGCATCTAAAGATTGCCTTCTTGTACTAATTGCTTTAGAAACAGAAGCATTTCAGAACATAAAACTGATAGCAGATCTCCAAAGACAAGTTTCCTGAATGAGGACGTGATATACTCATTGAAAGTGTATCTTGAAACTTCTCTGTACCTAAGACTTCTTTAAAAACAAAAAAATCCACACCCCAAACCTGAAACCCCAAAGAAGCTGGGAACTGAAAGGTGAGCAGGAATCGACTTAATTTTTAACAGCTTTTGGGCAGCCGAGTGCATGCAGTGAAGCAGAAGCACGCTTGTCTGCTTTTCAATAGGTTGGAGCTGTCAGAGATGCTGCGGATAAATTGTCAAGCCCTGACTGTCCTAAACAAACGTGATGTTCAGCTGAACACTGTGGAGGCAGTTTCTTCCCCTGCTGCAGTTTCTGCCTGCATTAAATTGATCAAGAATTCACAGGCTTAAAGTGAGACTTAGCCTGTCCCTACGTGCACAGAGGACCATCCATCCCTGCAGAAGGCATCTCTTCCCCACATTTCTCTCCCACTTATCCCAAAGGTTTCCCATAAACAAGATGGCTCCTTGTCTGTATCAAGCTCATGTACCATAAACATGACCTGACCCACATTATCGAGTTAAATTCATCTTACTTAAAGCTCAGTTTCTCCCCTGCCCTTCCTCCCATGGCACATTTATCACAAAGCAATACAAGCAGATTCCCTGATGGATTTTTGATCCCTTCTTCTCACAGCGACTTCCCAAAGTTGCCCATAAAGAGCCTCAGGTAACCTAAGCATTAGGTAATGTCTACAAACTCAAGAAAGTGCCACATTAGGGGAGATGAGTTACTGACAATACTGAAATCAAACACAAGAATTAAGAACTTGTCAGAATTTCAGGCAGGAGCTGGAGCTGCTTTGCACATGTTCTGCTTAATTGTATTGAGAGACAAGAAGCCAGTTGATTTCTCAAGGTATTTCACTCAGTTTGCAAGGTTTTAGCTGTACAGTTTGCAATATTACATGCTCTGAAAACGAAATTCAATCCCCAAATCCTTCTAGCTGGTTACTCATAAAATCCATTAAGTTGAGGCACAAGCAAACCAGACTCATCTCTTTCCCTCTCAGTGCCTATTACATATAAATAGTAATTATTGTTCCTGGCAAGGCTCTGGTGTCTCTTATGATTCTGCACTTTAATGATCTGATTTCTTAGTACTTTCCACTAAAGAATATATTTAACAAGCATCCATGCTTCCTCCTCCATGATAGGATTTAAAATTATGAATGTAATAAAGACAATGATGTTGCCAATTTCATGATTAATAGCTTAAAGAGACATTCACTGAGCCCTCATTCCCCCATTATCACAAATTCACAAGCTGCATAGCTTCGTAAAATTTAGCACAGACAAGACTTAACTCTATAGTTACAAAGCTAAATCAATAAGCAATACAAGAAGGACAGTAATTTAGTTTGATCTAGAAAAGCAATTTAAGTCCTACCTGTTCTGTTGACAGATTTGTGTTTTTTAAATGCCACCTTAGTAGAAAGTGTCTAATGAAAGATTTCCACCTTTATTTATGCAATATGCAACATCTCCAATCTTGTATGTTGTCACTTCTCAAACCACAGTAAGTTGTATCACTGTGATGCTACAGAACAGAGAGCATCATTAGCGTACAGTTCAGAGTTATAGAGCTAATCAACTGGAGAGGCTTCTCCTAATAATATAGATGCCAAAACAAGCTGCTACAAACATTCCCTCAACCATCACATCAGTTGTTTTCAAAATTAAAATGAAACCGAACTGCTGATAGAAAATAGGGTTTATGGTAAAACTCTATTTTATTACTTCACAGGAACATGGACTTCATTAGATGCAAGAACACACCCAAAAAACACAGTTGTTGCTCGGTGGAGTTAAGTCTGCATCACTTCCCAAGGTCTAAATTTTCACATTGACTTGAATAAATGCTACAGTAGAAAATGCCAATCAAAACGCTGAGAAAGCAAAAGCAGGTTAAGCTTTACGCTAGAGATACAACCCATGCCAACTCCTCTTTGTAAGCCTGTCTGGCTCAGTAATCAGTGCAAGTGAAACATTCAGACTTCACACTCAAGAGGGCCATGTGGAATGAAGCAACAGCATATTAGATAGTACAAAGGTCCAGTCTCCACTGTGCAAGTATGTAACAGCTCAGCAATAGGCATCTCTCTACTCACCTTAAAGAACCAAGGCCACATTTTGCATTTTTTTATTTGTATCAGCTGTACAGTCATTTTAGACTACAGATTAAAGCAAACAAAACAGAAAGTAACAACTTATTTCCAATTGCGTTTGAAGTTTATTACAGCCCAGGTAGCTTAAATTTGTTGCTCACAAGATGGAGGCTTTACGAGTTCTGGACTATTTGTATAAAGCAGTACAGTGAGACAATCTTTTCAGAACAAGTCGTGAAATTTCAGCATCAGCCAAACCAGTTCAGAGTGATTTATGAAATTCTGAAGATCGCATTAAATGGAATTGCTAACAGCCGTAACTACATCCACATAAATGTGCCTCTCATAATAAAAACATTCTACATAGCTCTGAATGTTTCAAGAACCAGTAAAATGACTACAGATTATGGAGTCCATCTCCTTTAAAGCATCAAAGACATTCTCAAGGAGGAGTTAATTAGTCCAGTTTCACAGGATACACCATTACAGAATCTGAGATTCTCACTGCCTGTGATTAATTTCAACCCTGCACCAACATACTTTGCTTGCATTGGCTCTGTTTTCAATTTCCCTTCCTTTTTTTCCAGAGGTCTTTCACTGGGGTGTTCACAGCTGGAGACTCAAGTGTAGCTCCTCTGTGCTGCCCCATAACCAACTGTAGCACTTGTCAGCAAACCTCTAGATGACAAGGAAGCACGTAAGAAGTACTTTCCAACATGCATGTTTCCCCACCCTGTTCTCCAATTCACAAGGCAGCAGATTCACATGCAAGCTCCCCTCCCCTCAAACGATCTGGTACACATATGCACTTGCTTCAAAGCATCCACATTGCCATTAAACACAAAGTTCACAGAAACAAAAAAAAAACAACCCAAAAGTTCACTGTGCTTTTACTGATGCCACTGATACAGGGATCATGATTAAAGACTCCTTCCAACTTCTTATACAGAGGAAGATGGATTCCTACCAACCAGTAGCAGGCACCAAGCTTCCGGAAAGGACTACCTGTGGTCAAGTGCTCCAGTGTATTCCCATGCAATGAAAAATATCCATCAGTGAGGCAACTTCCACAAAAGATAAACGTCTTCCTTGGAAACACCGAGTCTCCTGGGCTGGCACACTGTCACAGCACACCTTTCAAGCTTCCTTACCAAACAGCTTAAGTTCTGGAAATAAATGCAACTTGCTTATGCAGTTCCCTTTCTGTATTTCACTCCCTTTCTGCAAAGAGTCTTGCTTGAGGATATAGATTCTACTACATGCATCCAAAGTTGGCATCACTTTTGTGTCTCTTCCTGGCCACTCAAGTCTCCCTCTTCATTCACACTGGTATGCACATTCAGCAACAAGTTACACTGAAGTTACTCTGGGTTAACAGCTGCCTTTTGGCTGCGTTAGTTTTAGCCTGGATCAGTTCAGCTGGTCCCATCACATGGCCGTGTTAGCACTTGGATCATTCATGTGATAGCAGTGCAGAGAGAAGATAAGAATGAAAGCACTGGCTTGCATGTTCTACCCTAGCACATAAGAAAGTACACCCAAGTTTCAGTTTCCATGGAAGTCACTCTGCACTGCTCACAGTCACTCGCCCCAAGAAGGTGCTGCTGTTTGTATCAGTAACACTTGAGGGAAACACAAACAAACCATATGCTGCGGGGTGTTCTGCACCATACAATAGGCAAACACACATTTAGTCCATCTAGGTCTTCAAGTTGTTTCTGGTTCAGTAAGTTCCTTGTTTAAATTATATAAGTGCTTTAGGCCTTTCTTATCTTGCGAAATTAAGCCAGTCCTTGCCAGCTGCCAACAAGGGGAAGCGGGAACACACAAGGATACCACAGGACCTCCTTCTCCAGCACAACACCTCCCAGCCTGACTGCACTTGGTGCTCCCTCACTTCTCCCTGCTCCCTCCTGTAATCTAGAAGGGATTTGCACCTGGCTTAGTTTAAGCCTGAATTAATTTGCAAGACATGGAAGTCAAAGTGGTTTTCCTCCATCAGAAGTCAGGGCTATGGACGGACACAACGTGAAACTGTGCAGCAAATGATGTTTAGCATTGAAAATAGCTTTCCTTTCACTTCTTTATCTGGCAGAAAAAACACAGCAAAGACATTTGCTGGTGTAGCAGTCCCATGCAACCATCCCTTCGAACAAAAGCAGCTCTCTTCAGCAAGGAGCACAGCATAGTTTACAGACCAAGGTGAAAACCCAAAAGTCTCAAGATCCTCTGCTCTCACCCATCCCTACCCAGTGCAACATCGCTGCCAGATTTGCCACCTCCTGCCCCTCCAGAGCAGAATGACATAACCTTGTGTTTGTACAGCACTCACCACAAGTTCTATTATACACAACCAGACTCATCTGTGCTACTGATCGCAAACAAAAGTAGGGGTGTCTGAGACAATCAAACAACAGATGCAGCAGAAATGAATTGATTTATATTTAAACAAAGGCAAAAGCGAATAGGAAGTTAAAGACAACAAGCCTGACAGAAATTCATTTGAAGACAGAGCTGAAGGGACAGATGCTGAAATGGTACATTGCACTGCGTACCGTGGAACTGAAAAATGACTGAAAGTCATCTGAGACTTAAACAGTTACAGCAAAGAGTTTATCTCAGTATCTAAGCTGTGAGTCTTCAGGGCCAGCTTTATAACTCTCCTTAATACACACATCATGGAGACTTCTGCAGCATATAGGAACATACCATCAATCTGACTGACTGAACACCTTTGTACTTTTTATTATACAGACAGGTGCTGAAGCTTTTTTGTGCAAAGTCTGCTTTTTATCTACAGGGACAGGCTGATAATGACACTGGATAAATGTTAACAGAGCAAACTTTATTAGCAACTTGACCTATTTAAAAAAGGGGTCTCCACAAATTGAACCTGTAGATGAGTTTAGCCACCCTAAAAAGTGATTCAGTATTATACAGCCACAACAGGGACAATGGAACTACCGAACAGGTTCTATCTGTTCTTTTTATGGGACTGGTTTTTTTTTTGTTTTTGATACATTCAAAGCATTATTGCATCAGAAAACATATCATGCATCTTTATGCTTCCAGACAAATTCACCTGTATTTGTCATTTCTAGCTACATCTCAAAGGTGCACCAAATCTACAGCTTTATAGTTTTAGTTGCATGCTTTGCCTATATGCATGCTGAGATAATAAATATTAAATACAGGAAAGAACATAAGGGAATCAAACTGACATTAGGGATATTTTATGGCAGCTCTGTTATCTTCTGCCAGTTAAAGAACGTGTCAAAAAATTGAGGTAACAAGTGGCCATACCACTCAGCTGAGAATCGTTCAAAATTCACGGAAGTTTTCAGAAATTCAAGTACACAAACACCAGCTGCAACTTGTCAGAAATGCCAGAGAAATTAGGTTGGCTGCATTCTATTAGTCTATTAGCTGGCATTCACACAGCTCCTTGTAAATCCTTTTTCTCACTCGGGGCATATCTTCCTGGGAGAACTGAAAAGGCTGGTCTAAGGCGAGGCACTTGCAGTACTGAGGAAAAGGAAAAGTTTTGATTGAAAAACAGGACATTTACTATATTAACAATATAGGCCACTAATGTTTAAAACGCAGTACTCTTACCTGGAGCACAAAAACCCCACAGTCACTGTCATTTTTCTGTTGTGGAATGCACTAAAAGGAAAAGAAATAAGAAGAGACACGTTAGATTTTTACTTATTCTTTTATTCTCTGACTACTGCTTAAAGTCCAAAAGTAGATTCTTCATAATGAAGTTAGCTCATTCTCAGAGCTAGCTGTTCTGCAGCACAAGAAACTGGAGTTGTAATTACTTCTTCTGATCCCAACTTTTGCAAGGTGACACTGAACACCTTGTTAGAGTAACATCTAACATTCAGAAAAATATATAATACAGGACAGAAAACAAATTACAAATCTTTCTTTCAAGTTTGTCTTTTAGCAACCTACACAGAACAGCATCTTAATTAGTTTAAATAAATGTTTGTACAGCATTATCTGCTTTACACAGGATCAAACTATATCAGCAAAGTCATACAGGCCTAGAGGAAGATTAATCTCAGCACCCACGCTACCAGCAGTGGCTTTCTTCCTCCAGCCACACCAAAGGGTCTTGAAGAACATTAAGAGTGATACATTGTCAGGCAACAGGACTGAGCAAGGCAGTCTCAAGAGATAACTTTCAACCTTCATTATTTCTCCAAACATGCTCAATTTTGATATATGGAGCTAAAAAGTCCCACTCGTTAGTGCTGCTATATCTCTGACACTTGAAGAGTAAAAGCAATTATTTTTCCTCAACTCCCAGATCTTCTACCTTATAGAATGCAGGACAAACTCTGTACAGGGTGTGCATGAATGCAGAGAGGAATCATTTAATGATTGTATCAGCATCTAAAAATAAACCTGTGTGAGGAGGGAGCTGTTGGGATTATGTCTAGTGTGCAATGACCTGTTTGATATTCTTGGAGCCATTATGATGTGGCTAGGCAAATCACATATTCCCTCATTTACACTACACACAAGTAAGTTACTCCCTTCTATAGTTGTCAGACGTTGTTTACTTGCTATCAAACACAGTGTGTCACAAACAGCCCTGGAGACCAAAGCCCTCTATCCATAGCAAATATAAAATATAGGCGGCAGCAAATATATTAGCCTGTTCCCTCCCTCACCAAGTCCCATCCATGTGGCATAATTCAGAACAGCTGTTTGGGACAAGTGAGGAAGCTGAGTCTTCAGCTCATTCAGTGCCTGATCTTGTGCCAGCCTGGGCACCAGCTACAGATTTTGCTGCACAGACATTTAATTGTCCAGAGATTAGGCTGAGATCATCAGGTCACTTGCAGAAAGTATTACAGACCTGGTGGGAGCTGAATGAGCAACAGAGCTCTAACTCCCATGTGTAACCAACTGTGTTACTTCTAGCACCCTCCACATGATCAGCATAAACCAATTTACTACTTGCATAAATATGCGGGTTTAGAAGCAGCCTCCTAATATCTTAAGGGAAGTCAGATTCCAGGGATTGAATGCTACCATTTACCTTTGTAACAGCCGTTTGCCAACCCTGAAGAAACTCAGGATGATTCTTCTCTTTTGCTTCAGTCAGCAAATATTTTCGAATATTCTTCAAAAAGGAAAGGAAAAAAGCAAAAATATTATTCACCAGCTACAGAATAAGAGACATCGACGTCTTTGCTGGTATCCTTTTTGACAATGAGGACAAATTTCATGCAAGCATTAAGCATCAGGATATGAGCTCCAACTTGGGAGGTAAAGAACTCTGGTGGGTACTATGCCTTTTACCATCAAGGCTCATTCTGGTCTGTCAAGGGAGCTTCAACACCCCCCAGCATTGCTGTACACTGGTATACCTAATACTAGGCTATCTGTGGCACTGGGGCAGAGAGTCAGAGTGCTCTCAGATGCAGAGACACACAGCACAGTCTGGCATGTGTTCTCTCCTGGATTACTTGGCTGGCACCAAGACCCTTACATGTGATATGATAGCATTTTCCTCCTTGAATCTCAATACAAAATACTTTTGAGTTCTGCAGCTAATCAACAAAGCTCTAGGGAGAGTTTTAGTGACATATAAGAAAAAATAGTCTGACACAAGCAAAGAAAAGGAAGCAAGATAAATGAGCCTATGGTCTCGGGTTAAGCAAATCCTACTTCTCTGTAAACAGGCTGGTACTTTATAGCACAATTTAAACGCACTCTAGCACACTAACAATCATTTCAGTGGGTGGATCACTGTGGAGTTTTGGGTATTGGCCCCCCTTCCACTAGAAAGAGCAGGAATAAAGGTGTCTCATATTTGTGAGACATTTAAGTGCAAATGTTTTGCCAAGAGCAGAATGGGAAAGGCCACATTGCAAGAGACTCCAGGGCTGCTGAGAGGGACCCCTGGTTTATGCTACGAGTTCAGAAGCTGGAGAGCACGAGGTCTCTTGCTCCCAGAATAAACATTAGCTTCATCCTCAGCAAATGCCAGCTCAAAACTAGTATCTTCATTCAGAAGTTCTAGCTGAGAACTCTCCTGGGTACAACAATTACTACTCTTTCGTAAGCCAACAACTACAGACAGTTAAAAGTAGAGGGCTGCTGCATCAAGCAAGCAATTAAGTTGACAAAATTAGCTTTTGTAAGAGGGTCATTACAATTTGCTAGGCCCAGCAAAAATTTCCTGGCTACTGTTTACCAGAAAAACTGATAATTTAACTCCAGTGTTCAGGTTGCAGCTTTGAGAGGTTGCTGGCTTATAATTGGAGGTACACACCCCATACCAATGCAGACAGAGGAGAAAGGAAACAGGGTGTTAACAGCACAGCAACACATAAATCCCACTGGGCAACACCAGAGCATCTTCAGTCCTATTCTCTCACCCAGGCAGCCTCCCCTAAAAAGGATTTATCATTACCACAGTTTATCATTTCCTAAACATGCATCTCTTAACAGTTGAAAGAACTGCCTTTACTTTCCTTCTGGCTTGTCTGCTTCCCTGTGGCACTAAGCTTAGAGTCCCTGCTTTTTGTGGAAGTGACAAGACAGAGACACGAAAGGTATGTGCTGATTTCAGTCAGGCTAATTAGTTAACAGGCAATCGGGTCTCAGCTCCCCACTCTGGTGTGACCCTCAAGGTCTGTTCTTCAGACTCCTTAGCAGGACAAGCTGATTCTCATTTAATATATGACAGGACAACAACAGGCTCGCTGCATTTAAAATTTAAGGCTGAACAGATAAAGGAAAGGAGGGGTTGGTTTGTTCAAGAAAACGGTTCAAACTCTGCAGTCACAGCTGTCACTCTTACCTCTACACAAAACTTAAAATGAATGCCTTGGGAATCATAAAATGAAATAATTCGACTGGGGATGTTCACAGTAATGAGGGACCAGTGGACTTCCAGGTGAATAGGAATTAACAAGAGAGTCTTTTTAAACAAGTCCACCTGTAAAGAAGAACAACATATTAGACACAATTCCACAGGTACAACACAGCACAGACTAATCATACCTAAGTTGCTTCTCCACCACCCTTCAATAGGAGTCTTCTTTTGCCCGCTCCATCTTTCACCACATTCCTCATGTTTATCTTATACAAAACTTACTAGCATTCACAAAAATAGTTACAGCACACAAAGTGGCTAAGGAGCCCTGCACAGTATCATAGTCACTACTGTATTTGTGACAAAATCCTGCTCATCTTGTACATTAACAAGTAGGATTTCTTGAGTCATGATGATAATATTATTGAACCTCCGTTTGGGTTGAATAATGACACTCTTGCCATGTGAGCACCACTGTTTTTTGTGAGAGCTGCACCATGGATAGCTGACAGTCTCGGGGGTGTTGGCTGTCAATCTCATCGTGAGCCAGCAGTGTGCACTCGCAGCCCAGAAAGCCAACAGAATCCTTGGCTACAGCATAAGAAGTGCGGCCAGCAGGTCAAGGGAGGTGATTCTTCCCTCCCTACACTGCTTCTGCAAGACCCCACCTGAAGCACTGTGTCCAGCTCTGGGGCCCCCAACCTAAGAATGATGTGGACCCATTAGAGTGAGTCCAGAGGAGATCACAAAGATAATCTGAGGATTGAAGCACCTCTCCTATGAAGACAGGCTAAAAGAGCTGGACTTGTTTAGTCTGAAGAGAAGGCTCCAAGGACACCTCAGAGCAGCCTTCTAGTTCCTAAACGGGCTGACCAGAGAGGGACCTTTTACAAGGGCATGTACCTGTAAGACAACAGGAAATTACTTTAAACTGAAAGAGGGGAGATTTAGATTAGATATTAGGAATAATTTCTTCACTATTAGGGTGGTGAGACACTGGAAGAGGCTGCCCAGAGAAGCTGTGGCGGCCCCATCCCTGGCAGTGCTCAAGGCCAGGTTGGATGGGGCTTTAAGCAACCTGGTCTAGTGGGAGGTGTCCCTGCCAAAGGGAGGGGTGATGAACTAGATGATTTTTAAGTGCCCTTCCAACCCAAACCATTCTATGATTCTATGAAGCAGTGGTGATTACAAACATGCTACAAAACCAGCAAGCTGATGCAGGTTGTCTTCCTCTGCTATAACGCAGGTTCTGTGCCTTGTCAGATGAAGGCAGAGGAGGGGTGCATGATGCTTTGGTGAGCACAGGAAAGGAGAGAATGAAGGCAGAGCAGATTCATTCTTTCCTGAACTTAACTTTGTAGCAGATGTACTGTGGTCACAGGCAAGCAAACAAGGGAGAAGGTCTTAAAGTACAGAACAAGCAGATCAGATGCAACACCCCCAGTGTCTGTATGGCAGATGAGTCCTTCTGCTTTTGGAAGCCAGCCAAGCCAGGGCCTTTCATGATCTTCCTTTTCCCAGCTCCTCTTGAAACGAGCATCTAATTACTGGGGTTTTGATCGTATAGTGCAGAAAATAAGCTAAAATAGAATACTGAACTAAACAAACTCATCCTGTGGGAAGACTTCCCTGTTTTTGTTTTTTGTTTTGTTTTGTTTTTTAAGCACTCTGCAATTTGAACAGTGCATAATTGCTGCAGCACTAGTAAAGACAGGTCGTTTGTAGGAGAGAAAAGTGTATTTTTTGAGTAACAGTGGGAAGCTGAAGACACAAAGATGTCCGAGCATTCATAGCAGCTATCAGTCAAGCCTTGCTCAGAACAGTACTTCGAATGTCACAAACATTGACAATCCCTGCTCCCACCTGCAGAACCTGCTTCATGACCAGACTACAGCATAGTTGCTACACAACGATCCATCATTCTTGGAGGGAAGCAAAGAGATGTCACCCAGCAGCACGTGGAAAGGAATAAAGGAAAAATAAAGGAAAACTGGAATAAGACAAATGAACTACACCTTCTGTGATGTCCAGCAACAGCAGAGTGGTGCTAAACACAAGGGTCCTCATGTGACCCCAGTTGTAGGATTGCTGCAGGCATGCAAACCTGTAGCAGAAAAGTCAAAAAAGCCAGAAGCTGTAAGGGTCTTTAGTTAAGACCTGATGTTCAGAAAGAATGGTGGCAACCTAGATTTGCTTCACCAAGACAGTGCAGTCAGCTAGCTGGCATGAGGGTGGACCACAGCAGGAGTGCCAATCTGATCAGTGGCCAGAAAAGTGAGACACAAACAGAAGCCTTGAAACCACTGCAGCTAAATGCAGAAGAGCATGTCCCTCTGGGCTCTGGCCTCCCATATACCAGGAGAGAACGTTCATAAAATCTGGTACAATACTTCGGTTTGTTTAAAAAGCAGAAACAAGTTCCCCTTAATTGCATATTGCAGGACAAAGCAGTCTACTGAAACCTTCCAGTATAAACTGCTTAGTTCTCATTCTTGCTTTCAAGATTCTTGAGGAATTTAAGTGTAAATGTCTGAACTACTGCCTTACTCTCATCTCTCCTCAGCAGCAACAGGAATACAGGTTGTGCTTTCAGAATCTACCTTCACTTTGGGGTTTTTTGCAAAACTTGGGTTGCTGGAGAAAAAGAACATTAAAAAATATCTGGGAATATTAAGCACCAATATTCAGTCTCGCTTTAAAGAGATTTTAATAAATTATGTGAATAGACTTTATATTTGGATAATGAGTTCATCTCTAGCATTTCACAGATGTGTGCTATTTAAGTGCTTCTGCAGAAAGATCATACATTCAAACATGGTCCTTGATTAGTTGTGCCTCATCTCCCATATTAGAAAGGATAAATGTTGACAGAAGAAAAAAAAATTATAAAGAAATAAAAGAGAGTACTGCTCTTTGTATCAGCTGCCTCAGAAAACATCACAACCCGTGACCTGGTATGGGTCCTGGAAAGCAAGGGGAATTCTGTTCTTCTCATGCAAACAGCGGTTCAGCTTATTAACTGTGGATCTCTGATTTCTGCTTTTCAGTACCTGTACGCGTTACTCAGGAGTAACACTTTTATAAAACAATCATAGTATGAAATAAAAGGAAGAATCAGAATTAAGTCTGCTCTCCCATAGAGTAGTGTACGTGGCACTGTCAGGAGCATCAAGAGACATTTCCTGCAGCTAAATTAACAGCCTGCATGAACATACACAAAGAGATAACCTACCACCACTGAAGATTAAGCCATTCAAAGTACATTTTCACAACACAACCATACTAACTGAATAATGCCACCCGACTATTTTTATTAACCTCTGCGCACTTTGTATAGCTCCTTTGCAAACTCATCCTTTGCCGATAACACTTTGTAACTTCAAGTTAGTGATTCAACCCAGCCCCAAAGAACCACAGCATCAATGACATGGAGCTAAAGGATACCTTTTTAGTCCATCGTTTCACCCCATTATATCCTTTGGTTACGAGCTGTCTATGAAAAAAACTGTTAAAGAAATGAACCTAAAAAGAGAAAGAGAAGGAATGAGCACAGAAATCCATGCACAATCATTCCCCCTCCCCCAGGGTAATTTATACAAAACAGTATGTAACGAGGCAATATTTAATGCAGGTTTAGAAACAGAACCCTGGTAGGGACAAACAGAGGCTCTGCCAAGCCTAAACTATCGCTGTTCTTCAGCAAGCAAATAAAGCAAGCCTTATTTCCATCTAATTTATGATGTGAGCCACTGCAGTATTTCTATTTACACTTCTGTATCTCCAGGCATATCATGTTTAATTTTTTATTGCAGATCGACTTGCAAGATAAACACCAGGATAAGGAGTTACAGGTATTGTTGTTCTTTACAGGAATTAAGGAAGAGAACACTGACTGGCAAAGTGGGGGTGGTGGAAAAGTGAGTTCTTTGTGATTTTAGTTGTGTGAAGCGCTGAGACTAAAAAAAAGTAAATTAAATTGATCAAAATGGTTATAAAATTCAATGGCCAGGGGGGTTGGAACTAGATGATCTTAAGGTCCTTTCCAACCCTAACTATTCTATGATCCTATGATCATTTGTATTCAACCACTATGACCAGCTCTGGACAAAACCAATATTCTGCATTCCTTTTGTAACTAAAGACATGTAGTACTCTTTGTATACAAACTAACTGTTGTAAAGCCCTAAATTTATGGCAAAAAAAAGTACGCTTATGTTAAAAAAAATATTTAGCTCCAGGTTAACACTGTTATTCCCTGTGATTAGGTTCTTGCAATTACAGGAACAGATTAGTACAAATGGAAAACTGCAACATCTGTTTTTAACAATTCTGCTACTGTGGAGGCAGTAGAAGGCTCGGGAAAAAGTTAGAAAATTCAGTATCTGAAAACACAGTCTAACACCCATTAGCTATGCCAACAGACTTCAAAACCACATTCTGAGGTAGCAGCACAAAATCTCCCATGAGGATTTCAATTACGCACTATGAAGAAAAAGCAGACACAAGCAAACAGATACCATCTCCAACACCCCAACCCTAGCACACACTCACGAAGTATAGAGAATACTAATGAAGAATCACCATCACCACCAATCAAAGCAACAACACTGCTTCTTCTGAGCTTGAAGATTTTAAGAGTTACGTTCTGCAGAGCTCATCTAAAAATGGCTTTGTTTGATTCTTCCTTTGTGGTCTCACCTGAAAATTGTTCAGCTCTCCTAGTAAACAGATGGGTCTTTATAATTGCCACTGCTGCAAATTTAGTCACAGAGAAGGCAGGGGTTGATTAATTTTTTTTCCAACTGCCACCAACAGTTACACCCCAAAGTTGGGAAGCAGTAAGCATTCTGTTCAGGATGCACAAACCAAAGCGAGTCCTGTAGAGCCACTGCTGCCAAGGAACCAAGCAGCTCTGCATCAGTTCAGATTCACTAGGCAGGCAGCTGACACAGCTTGAGTCGTTACAGCCCCACAACTACAAGGTGGGCAGGTGGGCAAGTGCAAGCAGCCCATGTGCATGGTTCAGATGCTACGATTCATGGTTTGTCATCTCAGCAGAAATTCATCTTCATCAGAAATTTCACATGAAACACTAGACTAGTGAGCAAGGGCATGGAAAAAGCACTTTAGAAGCAGAAAAGCTGGAGACAGAAAGCTCTAGGGGAGAAAGGAGCATGGGATAAGCAAAAACAGGTCACCTGTCTTCTATAGGTACATTAGTAACATCAGCCTACCACAGAGATCACCTGCAGAGCTAATCTAATAAATTCCTGAAACAAGGGCAACAGCGCTGAAAACTGTATTTTAGCACAGGAAGAGAAGAAAATTTGAGTAGCAGATAGCAACAAATTATAACAGAACCACTCAGATCATCATTGAGCTAAATCTCAATTCTGTAGCTGAAATATTCAATGTTTCACCCTTCCCTCGAAATCTCTCATTAGGTACATTTGCATAATAACAAAAAACCTCACCTTTTCAGGGACTGCATCCATTACGAGTTCACCATACATGTTAATTATCTGTAGGAATTAGTAAATAGTTGAATACATACAGAGTAATTTTGTAAACTGCAAGTAAGTTCATAAGTTCCCATAAAATGTAGGACTCTTCACAATCAAAACAGCAATAAGGAGGTGAGCAATTACAGTGACATTTTGCTGCAGCCTGAAGGACAAGCACTCTGGAACTAATAGTGGTTGGCACAGAGAGAGACTGTAACTAGCTGCTCTAAGTCTACCTTAATCTGAAATGCAGTTTAATTCAATTTAAGTCTACTGGTGCATGCCATGGGCACTGCAGCCTTCATGGGATTTTGACTGTGTGCCACAGGCTGCTGCTTCACCCTGCTTTTGTTTGTTATATGCTCAAGCTTGGGGATGGGGGAAGGTGCTAACATCTCTATGGGTAGCCACAATTTTCTCAAAATAGTGCAACATGGTTTCTTCAAAAGACAACAGTTCAGTTGTGATACCTCCCATCTTCCAGACTCATAACCACTATTATTATGATGCCATTGTAAAAGCTGCTCACCACTTCTTTTAGTGTACAGTAAGGACAGTCCACCTATAATGTAGCAGAAGGTAAACAACTAATATCCTAGTATTAATGGGCTAAAACAGGTTAAGGAAGCACATAAACATCAAGCATCTCTGACCTGGTCATTCAGCCAGTTTTGGCCTTCCAGTGTAGCTAAATCATCCATGTCTAGCATGTGCTTATTATAGAAGACCCGGAAATTGCACATGGAGGTTTTTGGATGTTTTTCCCGATACTTCACGATTTCCCTCATGATAAAAGGTTTTCTAAAACAGGATTGAAAAGGTAGAAAAAAAACCATAAGTCAAGGTTACGTCAAATGGACTTCTGATAGGTGTTAGACATGGAGCATGCAGCAGCAATGCAAGCAATCCGTCCTTTACAAAGTCTAGAATTAGATAGTGCTACACACCTATGGGAGAAATCTTCATTAAAGACTTCATTTAATCTTCCCATGACATCTTTTTCACACAGTGGTACTAAACTGCCATACTTCTTCATAACTTCATCTAGGAATCCTTCAAATATATTAGAAAAATGAAAGTGCAATCATGTAAAAGAACCTTCCAAGTTCACTACTCCAATAAAGCAGTCATTTCTTCCAAGTATGAGAAGCAATCATTCTGCACCCAACCAACAAACAGCACCACACGTGGCAAGTAAGTTTAAGAAAACTGTGCTCAAATTGGCAACATTAAATAAAAGTGGGTGTAGGGGAAGGCGGACAAAAATAAAAAAAAGCAGCAATCTGATCACTCATCTTCACAGGAAAAGATTAGACCCCATTCTTGCCATATACACACATATATTCATCAAACTAATTATACAGTGCCACTAGGAGAATCCATACCCCTGCCTTTTTCAATTAGCAACTTAAATAATTTTACTGCAACAGGAAAAGCCACCAGTTTCTGCAACAGTTTTCACTGAAAAACCAGTATCTTGTCCTCATGGTATGCGAATTACTCTCCTCAGATGTAAGCAGCCTTGGTTGGCAGAGCATTTGCCGTCTGTTCAGTTCCTCCGCTGCCACCGTAGCAAACAGAAAAGGCACCAGACAGATTCTCAGCAAGCTTAACTCACTTAACCCTGCATCCTAGGGATGGCATTTAAGGTGGCACAGACATCTGTGTCAGCCTGCCATTGCCTGGGAAAGCACTGGGCAGCTGTAGCACTAGAAACAAAAGAAACAAACTAGGAAATAATGAAGAGATAAATGCTGGAGGAATCTAAAAAGCTATGAAATAGATTATTTTTTCCTCAAGCACAAGACTGGAACACTGGAGACATAAATTCCATCCAAGCATCCCAAACTAGTTCAAGAATGAAACAGAATGGAAAACAGAATTTCAACACTTGCCAGTGAATAGGGGAAAAAAGCACAAGTTGTCCAGCTTTCTGAAAATTAGTTTTCGAGTGCTGCAGAAAACTGAAACGCTGGATCTAAGATCAGAGTCCAGGGATATCACACCAACCCAAACTACAGCACTCTTCTCCAGCCAGGGTGTGATGGCAAAGAGCATCACTGGACAGTGTATGGTCAGCAATCTGGTTACTAAGACTTTAACAACATTTCCTGGAAACTTTTGAATATCATGATGGGAAGAAGCAAGACAAGAGAAACACGTGACATAAAAAAGTGCCAGAAGAACAACAGTAAGAAAAGAACTAGAAAAGAAAGGAGACCAAGAACAAAACTCCAAAAGCTGAGAAAAACTGAAGTATAGCAAGAAGTACATCTGGATGTGTGACAGAAGAAGGAAGGACCGAAGAGAGAGATCAGACAACAAGGAAGTACTCTTCATGGGAAGATAACCTTCCTTACAACACCGCCACACAGTTGCCTAACAACTTTTACCCCTTACATCTCAGTAGACTGCGACAGGAAGGATATTTCTCATCTGGCTAGAAGTCTAGACAGACGATGCATAGGGTGTATATGCCTATCTTATTCTCTTTCAGCATATCTAATTTCTAAAGGCTTTTTATTCATACACCCAGAGGAAGGACTGTTCCTTGTAGCTACAACTAAGAGCAGCAGAGCTCCATGAGACCTCTAGCTAGGCTATGACTTCACTTTAACTTGTGTAACTGAATAACTCAAGGAGGAAAATACAAAGTTTGGACCTAGTGCACAATCAGACACCCATCATAAATAGGATCCACCATGGAGCTCTGTTTGATAACAAATATCACATCAGAATGCACTAAATATTGCAGCCCATTAACATCTGAGTTCAGCTGCTGCAGAGAAATTAAAAACCTGCGAGCATCCCCAACACTTACATTTACCTCATGCATCAACCCTAGCAACTCTTGCTACATTAACAGTATCTTTAGGGTACAGTTAATTATTAACATGCCTAAAAATACAAGAACTCCTGTACATAGTTATACCAAAATTAAAATTCTTTTTTATAGCTTTTCAGCTGAGAAAACTCAGAAGAGCCATACAATCGGTATGAATATGTAATGTAGACTTGGCTTAAATCCTCAGGGAGGAACCCTCAACTCTGAAGAAAATGGAAACTGGTCTCACCTACTTTCATGCAGAAGCCAGGTAAGAAAAACACTACTGTGTGGAAAAGCTTGGTGCCCTTGCTGCCTGTCTTTTAATTTTATTTTTTTAAGTTACTCGGGCCTCCTCTGAACAGGAATATGACTGCCTATCAGCCTGGAAAACAGTAACCTTTGCCAATCTGACAGAGTCTTGGTTCTTGACTGTTATGGAAGGACCACATGACTTTTTCTGTTGGACAAACTTAAAAACTCCACTGCAGAAGTGGTACCACAGTTTCTCCCCATTTCTCACACAGTGCCTGCTCCTTGCTGGATTGTGTAAAGCCAGTCGTAAAGAAACACATCCCATACTAACTTGTGGATATGGATGTGGAAAGCTGTATCATCTTTTGAGGTTCAATATCTCCTTCTTGATGGCTTGCTTTAGAGGATCAATTGCAAAACTCAAGGATAAAAAGGTTTGCAGAAAAATCAGAGCATGTCAAACTTCAAACAATCCCTTTAACACTAACACCAGCTTCAGGTTTATGGGAATCTATGAAGCAAATTTCTCCAAAGGAAGACTTTGGTTACCAGAAAACCACTGAACTTGAACATTATATTAATGGTACTAGGTGGCACAATGTGTTAATTTGCTGTTCCTTACTATGTGTATGGTATGATGCTAGACATAAATAAGACACTGATTACTATTTTTACCATGTTCCTCTTTAAAGAGACTACCTAAACCACATGCTCAGCATTGAGTACAAAAATTCCAAAGTCTTTTTGCTGAACCTTTGCTAAGACTGTTCATGTCTTTTTGAAAAAAGTTATTTAATAAGATTCATCAAGCCTACTTTATGAACAATTGTAGAGAAAACTAAGTGACAATGAATAATATGTTATTGGCTATTGAAACCTGAGATTCATTAAGTGGCTTAGTTGCAGTCTAAGAGCAAGAGAAGAAAGGATAAGGCTGGAAGTGTTGGAACACCAGGGATTTTTCAAAAACCAAGCTGAGTAATAACTGTCAACCATTTATACCACTGGTAGTTTTAACCCTGTATCATCTTCTGAACCACATGATAAAAGACATTAAAAATGCTTATTAACAATTTTTCACAAATATTCCAATTAAATTACATTGTATTCTCTAAAACAAAAGCAGAGGCACTATTCAACTATCCCTCAAAACAGCTTGTCAGATATGCATAGATTTGTCCTTCCTTCATGCAGCTCTCCTCTTTGCAGCCTCATTTCATTAAGTGTTATGATAAGCACTCTTTACAGTTCACAAAAAGAAACCATTTTAATAAAGGAATTAATGCAACATGTAAACTCCACAACAAATCTAGCAGTTTTCAGAAACTCCTGGAAGCCCTAAGGTATGTAAAAATGTGTACCACAAAGCCACGTCGCCAACTGCTCATCAGCCACCCGAGAAGTTTTCTGACTGTTCCTTTTGCCTCCTTTATGAGTTCCGGATTTTAGTCGTGTGCTTCCTGGTGAAGGCTCCTCAAGAGGACTTTTACAGTAAGGGTGATCTAGTAACTCTGCGCTAAAGATGTCCAGGTTTAAGGAGCCCTCTATTTCCATTTGGCTAGGGCTGTCCTCCTTTTGTGCCAGCTCCATGGATAAAGGTCCATTTGAAAAATTATGATTGACATCGGAATCCTGCGAGGATTGCGACAGCATCATTCCATCTACACCCATAATCTCATTAGAGTCAGCGTCATCTTGACCTGAAACAGAAATTTCTTTTCCTGTCACTGAGACGAAAATGTCAGAGCAATGCTCCTCTGCCAGAGCCCTGTTGGTCTCCACCTGCTGCAAGGTCTCTGCCTCTGGAGATGCTCTAGCATGAAGTTCTGGTGGGACAGCACCTGCACTGCCATCAGGCCTTCTGGATTCTGGCTCCTCAGAACACCACTCAGCACACTGTAATGCATCCTGTGTAAAGCAGACCTCAGGTGTGCATGGTTCATTCTCCTCACCTAAAGATTTGGGTGTATTATGGTTCATATCTGATAAACTGTACCGGTTCCAAACACGGTTACTTTTAGATTTCCAGTAGGAAAGCCAATTACACAATCCACTTTCAAAATCCCGCTGAAGTGTCTCTTGATGGTCCCCCCTAACTTTCTTCACCCACCTTGACTTGATTTTTCTCAATTTGCAGGTTTTGCCTCTTGCTCGAAGTTGCGGGGATTTTATAATTCTATAGCGAAATCTAACCATAGAAAGTTTCTTATGCATCATAAATAAAGATCTCTTTTTTACAGTATGATGGTTAAATTTGGATCTCTTTATAGTTGTCAAGGGTCCACAAGTTCCATTCCACTCCCTTTTCAACACCATTTCCTTTTATAGTTGTTTAAAACTACTAGGACTCTGTTGCCCTTACCATTATTGCTCTTCTCCCTGCTATATACAAAACTACCTTTCTTTACAGGTAAGGCAGCACCATCCAGTGTACCACATGAGACATAACGGCTGCTGCCAGCGATGCTATTAAGGATTGCAACAGTTTCAAATTCTTCATTCAAGTGATCTTCACTCTGAAAGAATTCATTGTTGAGTTTTCTTACTACTTTTCCAGATGGGCTTTTGGCTTTGGGATAGGGACAGGATCTTTTTGCTCTCAGTAAGAGGAAATCTGTATGGCTCAGTGGCAGGCTTTTGATAGGCTTCTGCATTTAGAGGCGCCTCAAGAGCCCACCTGCTCTGGAGCTCAAGTGCCTTCCTTCTGCACTGCAGTCTTCTGTACAGTTTGTTGTGATTTAAGCTCACAATGAGCTGAGCACTGTGTCTTTTCTTCTTAGCTAGGAAAAATTGCTTTTGGAAGCAGTATTTCCCAAGCTCCCCAAATCCAGTGGTCCATCTTCTAGACTGGGCCAGCAACTGACTTCTCTTCCAGAGCAAATGTTGCCTGCAGTTTTTCATTTTTCTGCTGCATTTTGATCTTGAAAACAGCTGAAAGAGTAAAGGAAATGAATTCAGAGTTATCTTGACTGTAACATAATAGCAAAACACTAAGGCACATTCTTCAGGCAACATGCCTATCTAAAATTCCACCTGTCCTCCAAACACAATACCACGGTCCCTAGGACAGTCTCACTTGCAACAAGAGGGAAAAGAAGCAATAGCTGCAGTGGCTTGGTGCATAAACAGGCTCTTCTCATTTACCTTCCCTTGAGGTAAAGCAATAAACAGGTAATCCCCACGCAGCCCACACTCCCTGTATGCAATTTCTGACTTTCAGGCCTGAGGTTAAACCTCTCTCAATACCCATGTTGTAGAGCCAGCACAGTTGACTATCTTGCCTCAAAAAGCTTTTGAAAAACAAAACTTTGAAGTCCAAGTTAGTCAACAAGTTTGTGCAGGTACCCGATTCCATCAGCACTGTATAAAGGGAATACATATTCTTGTGAAATAGATGCTAGCAGGTACCCTGAAAACACTTCCTACGCTCACACAAACTCTTCCCTTAAAGGAACAGTAATAGACATGCTGCCACAAAAATTCTGATTCTCTGGCTAGGTAAGGAATGACACAGCTTACTCTGTGAAATGGTTTCTCCTTATTTGCAGTAACAGGTCACTCCACGAGGCAACACCATCATCACCTTCTGTAATTAGTGTTTATCTTTGCATTGACAAACCAATATCAATTCAGGACACCAGTTAATCAGCTTAAAATTCCTTTCCCCACTAAAAACCTGCATCTCACAAGTGTGCAATAAGAGACTACACAGGAGTGTAAAGCCTGCGGAGTAATATCTATTCACCTTCACTACATAATTAAAAATATTAATTCAAAGGTAGAAGAATCCAGGAACACAAGGGGAAGGCATCGGCTGCACACACAACATAGGATGTTTCATGCGACTTTGTCCCAGCCTCACCAGGTACATCACATCTCACATCTGTATTTTACAACAGCTTTTTTTTTTCTTAAATTCAGAAATGGACTTTGCTCCCCTCTGTCCAACTGATTCTGACTTACAGACTATTATAATAAATTTTCCTTTAGCCACACCTGTCCCAGGCATTACACAGAAGCATCACCTCGCTGAAAATAAAGGACCCTATAAGTGGAAATAAAACATTAACAATTGGACTTTAAAGGCAAATATGAATGCTAGATACCTGCAAACCCAGGTATTTAAAGTATTTAAAGTCTGACTTAAGAAGCTCTGCTGCATTTTTCACTCGGATATAAACATCATGTGGCTTTTTTTTTTCCTTTCTCTATTTGTTGTTGTGGAGGAGTGAGAGGGGAGTAAAAATGCACAGAGGATGAAGAATATCATTTAGTACTTGGGTAAAGTATCCCTACGACAGAGAAAACAGTCCTCAGAAAGGAACCTGGCTACCTCCCGACAGATGTGCAAGGCAGTATAGCTCAACAATGTAAGCACTGCAGTAGAGTCCAGCTCTTTTGTAACCCTCTACTAGTCACCATGCAACTTAGTTATCATAAAAATCAAGACATAACATCTAATCATGCCAAGTTTCTCATACTTGCTCTGTTAGCACTTACATATTTCTCCACAATAGATCCAGTTTACTACTGGATTTTTATTTTTTTTTTTTTTAATGCTACAAACTCTACATTTCTGCCTATTGTGTACAGTATCTACAAAAGATTCCTCGAGTGGCCCCAGAAAACATCAGCCAAATCAGTGTCTTGCTATGACAGCTCACTGCAGCCACATTTCTATCCAGGTAAAACAAACCAAGCCAGCAAACCCACATCATTCTGAGCAGAGCCATGTATACCAGGGGCTTCTGCCAGTGCAGAAAGCCGTGAGTACTCTAAGAAGAGCACAGCACATGAAGGTAATGGTTTCACTGCTGCTCAGCCTCAACAATACGTGCCCAGGAACCGTGCAATATACATGCCAGGTTTTAAGAACACTCCTGAATGACCTGGGAGTCATCACTTTTCTCCTTCCTCTCTCATTGCAAAGTCCAACAAGAAGCATCCCCTCCACAGGCACTGTCATGAAAGTCAAGTCATGGAAGAAGGCTGAGCAACCACCAGTTTTGTGAATAGCCACAGGTTACGCAGGAGCTGAAACACCTACAGCCGCCATTGTTTCACCCACAGTAGACTGAACTAATAATCACAGTGGGAAAAACACTGAACTAGATCCTAGCAAAGATAAGTCCTGCCAACAAAAAGAACCTGAGGCAAACTGGAATTGAGAGACAAGAGTGGTGCCACAGTTTCAATGCAATCAATTGCAACAGCAGCAATCAAAATAGCTCATTTGCTTGTTAGTGTCATGAAATCCAGCTTCTTACACTGCAACAAAAGATCTTATGAAAGCTATTCTACTCACATGTTCTTCTGCTTCATTTTTAACTGAGACCATAAAAAAAGTTTCACATTATAATTTACAGGATTAAAAAATACCTCATGTTTGCCCGTGATGCACACACCAATTTCTCCACATTGAAGGTTTTTTCTGCACAAAAAAATCCTTAAAATGGGAGGAAAGTCTAAGTCATTTAATCCAAGCAAACCTTTCTTGCTCTCCCCTCTCCCTTTTCAAACAATCAGTTTTGAGTCTGGATCCCTTTAAAGCAAAGGCCTCCAAGGAGTAGCTGATCTCAGTTCTAGGAGCTGAAACAGTTCACTTTTTCTAACAGCAGTATTACTTTGAACGACAAAAGATAATCCATACGCAAATATTTAATTAAAGGTGCTGCTTGAAGAACTTATTTTCCATCAGTGCTACAAGGCTATTACTGGTTTTACTCAGCGAAATAAATCAGCAAGGCAAAAGGACAGCTTAAAAGCGCACTGCTGGAAAAGGAACTGAACTGAGCTACAGAAGACCAAAAATAAAGTAAGCACCACCCAAAGTTTAAGAAGCTGAAGGGAAATTCACATCTCCACCCCATACATTGACACAGATGAAAAAAATCTCTGAAATGGAGGAATATGCACCATTAGGAGACATTTGCTTTGTATAAGGCATACCTCTACTGCGCAGAGATGCTGCTGAGACTATGCCAGCAAAATCTTAAACCCAGAAGAACCCAAGATATACACCTCCCAGAGACCATGAGTGAAAGAAATTTACTGTCATTAATCCTCACCCTTTTGGCTATGTTTGACATATCACCTGCAAATGGTTATATACTAAATGGCACCATCTCTTTTGCACTGGACAAAGACAACCCCAAACCATCAGAGCTCTCTACTAACAGAATACAAAGCAAATTTATGACCAGAATCTGCTATTTGGGAGCCACTCCGTTTTTAGAATAGAAACTTATCCCTAGAGCTCTGGTAAGTTACAATCAAGCATGACCATGTCAACTTGACATAAAGCTGGCCTAAAATTCACTTAACACCTACACATGAAGAAGGGAGGAATGTGAGGCCTGTGATCCTTTACTGAGTAACAAATTCAGCATAGATACACGCTGTATTTTCCTTTAAGCAATTAGCAACTCATGCCATTTGCAATTTACATGGTTGCAGCTTATGCCACCTTTAGTGAAATCAAGTACTGTAAAAGACACTACACATTTAAATCTTTCACCAATTTCAAGCCTGTTACAGTTTGATTACTAATTAGTCCTTGGCAGCCCTATTTATTTTTGGCAGGTTTGTAGAGCTCAGGTTTTCACTGAAAAGCACAGAAATGGGAAAGGCAGTCCCAGCCAATGCTGCTGATAGAACTCTAACCAAAGGTTTCTTGCTGACACTTGAAGTGTCAGACCACAGATACTTTTTGTCCATGTGGGTGCAGAACAAATCCACAGCGCTGCAGCATCACAACTACTTCATACTTAGATCACTGCAAGCTATCTAGGGCTGCATCAGGGTGGCCAGCAGATCAAGAGACACATGCCCCTGGCAATTCAAATACAGCTCACTTGCTAATTCTTAGGTTGTTATTTCCCCCACCCCTCCCCTCCAACTGTCCAGTTTTTATTATCACTGTTTATGAAAGAAGCTTGCTTCAAAGAGCATCAGTAATGTAATCAGCAAACAGCCTTGGGAGCATGGCCTTGTGTGGACATGAGTAGTTCATGCATCACCTGCTCCCAAGGGAGGCAGCAGCTCTTGCAACACCCTGCACGTCCAGCCTTTCCCAGAGTAGATCAGGGCTGGCTTTCAAGGACAGAAGATAACCAGGAAAGAGAAATCAGGCCTGAGGTTAGACAGCTGGGCCGTGCTGTGCAAGAGGATGCTGGCCCTCCCCCCAACCAGAATCTAAAATTGGAAAGACAGAGAAAGGAAACTGGGGAAGGGTGTCTCTCTTCAAACCACAGCGTGGCCAGACCTAAGCTGATAATGTCAGGAAGTCTGAAATGATTCAATGAGCCCATGCAGAAGTAATGCAGATTCACAGCACTGGGAACTATCTCCTCTGCTTTCTTTTCTGACCTACCCAGCACAGTTCTGTGAACTATCAACCAAACATTTCTGTCCAGAGGTGAAACAAGCCCTAAGAAAATGCACTTTGACAAAACATAACACATTAACGCAAGACCATACAGAAAAGGCCAAAGTCCAAAGTTACCAACTCATGGGAACACAGCTGAACACGCAGCTGATGACCTCAGCTATCACACTGCAAGGCTTAAACTGGTACAGTTACTTTGGTTTCTTCCCTTCTCCCTACTAGTGTTCCGGGAAGTAACCCACAGTCTCACCCATTTAGCTACACATCTGCTAAATTTATTTCTGGCAAGATGATTATAATTTACTTACAGAAACATCCTCCTTCAGGCTAAATTAGATTAGGGGAGACATGGCTATCAGATAAAACAGCATTTAAGAGAAATGCTGTCACAAATCAAGAGTGATGAAAAATTTCTAGATTAAAGAACCCAAAGTTACTTCTGTACAAGCAAGTAGTAAGGACATACCTAATTTTTCATCTTTATGCTTCTGATTGATTATAATGAAATATCAGTCAAGCTTTGTGCCCTCCTTCCTGAATACCTCTGCAAGGTAGAAGCATGGAAGCAGCTGAAAGAAAGTCTACTGAACTTTGCTGCCCTGCAAAGGGAACAGAAACTGGAATTTCAGTCAAGGTCCTTGCACATGTCTGGGCTCAAGGGTCTCCCTTGTGTTTTCTAAAGACTTTCCTCAAAGTGTACTTTCACAAGCATTAAACACATATTCCTGCAGCTTTGAAAAAAAAAGATGACTTCTCTACTTATGCAGTGACACACACATAGATAAGTAAAGGCAAGGCTATTACCAAAGGCATTCTTCTTCGCTTCTGAGTGGAAGTTTGGGCTAGAACAAGTTTCATTTGCAGATGGCTGCAGGGACAGCACGTTAGTTAAACGTCCTCACCTGAGGAACACAGCTCTGCCTGTTACTGCCCCACGGTCCAGCACCCCACCTGTCCTGTGACAGTCACCCCACTGAGCCTCCCCGGCCCTGAGTGACTGGAGCAAATAAGCTCTCTCTGCGTACACAGCAAAGAGAATGGGAATCTGTGAGCAAAAGGGCAGAGAAGTGGGGTCGAGAACTCAGTGATGGGGGAAAAAAAATTAAAAAATCTCTTAACTAAAAATCCCTTTTTACAGGTGCCCAGCTCCCCCAACGCCCTTACTCTCACAGTCTTGTAGTTACGGACAGTCTACCCGAGCCTCCCAGGAGAGGCTGGCACTGAGGGACTCCGCGCCGCCCCGGGTTTTGCCCTAGACTCCCTGTTCTGGCGAGCCCAGTCAAACCCCGGTGACGCCGCCAGGAACCAGGCGCCAGCACCTGCCCCCGGCACCCACGAGAAGCGGCAGACCCACAGAGAGGGCCGGGGGCAGCAAAGCGGCGAGCAGCGCCCAGCGACCTCTGCCCGCGGCTCCGGGCGAGTGTCCGGCCGCCCCCACTTACCGGCCCCCCAGCTCTCCAGCCACTGAGGTGGGGCCAAACCCGGGCGAGAAAAGCCTGCGCGCCGCCGGGGGTAGCTCCGGGCGGACACTGCCTTCCGCTCCCCCGGCCCGCAAAGGGGGACCAGCCGGAGCCGCCCTGCAGCGGAGGCCCGGCAGCCTCTGACCCGGCCGCGCTGCCCCGCACTCGTGGGACCGAGCACCGGGCGGGCCAAGGCCGCCGCTCAACCACCGTAACGGCCCTCACAGGTCCATCGCCCCCCACCTCACCTCCGCCCGCCGGCACCGCCCGGCTCATCCCGGCCGCCGCCAGGGCCGCGCTCCGCCCCCGCCGAACGCCGGGCCCGAACGCGCTGCGCCGGCGCCGCCGCGTCAGCCCAGCGGCCGGCGGGGCACGGCGCCTGCGTCCGCTCGCGAATGGGGCAGGGTCGGCTGCTAGCGGGGCAGGGCCTGGTCTGCTCTGCTCGATACTGCACTTCTTTTCCGGGAAGTCCAGGCAAGGCATCTCTGGGACGTGTGAGCCAGGAAGGCAACAGGGGCCTTTCCTGGTGCCTTCCTGGTGCCATTGTCACTATGCAGCAGCCCCCCCCCCCCCGGCTTCTGGGTCCGAGGCCCGCGGCTGCCCTGTCTTCCGCGGCACAGCAGCAACAGCTGCAGAAACGAGGAGTTTAATAAACAAGCTGAGTTTGTAAAACGAACCACTGATACCTCGGTATATGGCTGTGGTTCTAGTGGACCCAAGTTAAAAAATTTCGTTGTTACTCCGGTGTCAGCCGTGTGGCAGAAGCGCTGGTACAAGTGGAGCCGCAGGCAGGGCTTTGCCGGGCTGAGGTAGCGGAGCTTGCAGGCTTCGCTTCTCTGTGAGCTGCCCTTTGTGGGTCTGTTAACATCTCTGTTCCGTGGTTCCTCCACCTGAAGAATGGGGAAGAAGATAGCGGCCAGTTCCACTGCTGTCCTGTGCCGTACAGAGACATTGTGAAAACGGGAAGTGCTCCAGCACCATCGCGTTTTAGTTGCTGGGTGGAGGAAGGTTACACTTCCTCTCATCAAGTAGCCCCTGTAAGGAGAAGCTAAAAGAATTTCCAAATTACAAGAAGTCAGTGAAGCAGGGAAGATTGGGAAACAGCCACAATATATCAATTTTGCAACAGCTTTGCAGGAGATGGGCTGTTTTCCTCCAGGAATTACACAGGCCATGGTTTGCCAAATGCTGTAACAAATGGGAAAAAAAGGGATTGAGAAGACAATGGGGTGATGCAACAAACAAACGGGCAGAGTCCACACCAAACTGAGAGTTGCTGGCTTTTATTTGTTTGTTTGAAAAATGTCCAGCCCAGCACTCTCATTATATCCACTGCTTTCCTAAGCAACCATTTGTTCTTCCTGTACAGTAAATCCAGCCAAAGATGGGCTAAGCACTTTCAGAGCAACAAGATGAGTCCTCTGGCCTTTATGAAACACACAGTAAACAGGCTGCAGAAGGCAAGTGCTTAGGCCATGAAGTTACAACAGGAATGTACTAAATAGAAAGAAGATTCCTCCCCCAGTCCATCAGCAGTGCTCTCTGGCACCTCTGCATTGAAATCATGGCCTGACCCAGGCAATCATTAGTACAGTCTACACCAGTCATTTGAGACACATAAATGGGAGCCCAAGTCCATGAGATCCTCTTTAAAAAGTCATGATTTGAATTCTTAAATGTGGGGTTTTATGAGCCTTCTGATTTTGCCTGTGAGGATCAGCCTTATCACATGTTCATGCTTTGTCTCTGTCCATGAGGTCTAGTAGCAGATCTTTAAAAACTGGAAGCTGAGGTTCTCAGATGAGAAGATGCTTGTAAACGCTGAGGCTTTATGGAATGCAAGAAAGACATGAGACTTGGGAATATTAATAAATAAATAAATAAAAGCCAGACTTGGCAACGCTGAGAGAAAGGACTGAATACCAACTGCATTACTGTAACATTTTTGTGGCCAGACTTGCAGCTCCAATGTTTTAATGATGGCAGCCTTTGCTGTATTTAACAGAAGCCTGGATTTGATTTTTTTAAGAATAAAAGGGCTTTTGAATGCTCTGTAAAGGCAGTTTCCTGACTTCATTGATTGCTGACACAAACACCAAAACTAAATCTCCCACATCTTGAACTAAAGCAACAATCCCATTAATTTGGACAGCAGTGAGCTATACAGGAGGTGGTTGCTGGAAGAGGACACATAGCATGAGCTGAACCAATTGACTGCTCTGTGTCTCATCTCGCCAAGCAAGAACAGGGCCAAGGTACACCTCCATACAACCATGTTTTATTTGGAGGCTGCTAACTGTCAGTCTGAATTCACAAAAGAATGCAAATAGCCACATCAGGAAACTCAGCAAAAGATGATTTGAACTGGCAGGGTTTGTTGTCCCTGCCTATTTTTGCACTTCTGAATAGGAATAAAATTAAGGTCCACTCCAAAAGCTTGCACATTCCTTTCATATAGCTTCAGGTTGCGATATAAAACTAGACTGGCAGAAATATCTGTACATCTATACTTATCAATAAATACATTGAAAGGATTGTTGTTAATTGCAACAAAGTAAAAAAGCTTTAAAAAAAAGTACATTCACAGCAGGCGAACTCAAACCTGAATACAACTACAGACAATGGAGTGTGGCTACTCTTTGGCCTACAGTTCATGAAGTTTGAAGTTTCTCCAGGCTGTAAGAAAGTTCATGAGGACAATCCTTCTGTAGCACAACACTACAAGGGGTGGTAAGGAAGCAGTAATGCAACAGAGATACCCCAGACTCCCCTGTGAGGAAATATACGAACTACGTAGTCTAGTCTCTGTACTTTTGGTCCCTGCCCAGGTACTGAACAAAATCTTGATCAGTCAGAGCAGCTCTGCCTGTGCTGCCAACCTCCCTGTAGACACCCCCACACCCTTATATTTTGCTCATGATTCCACCCCTATTTGTTCACTTTGTCCTCCCAGGCAAGGACAAGTGCATAGCAGCTCCTGGAAAGAAGATCATTTCAGCATATTTCAGAGGTGAATATTCTGAAATTTAAACATTGACTTCTATCTCACAGTTTACAGAAGTGGCATTTCTTCTTCCCTCAAATTCAATGGACTTGATAAAGATTAAGCCTTGTATCAGTACAGCCATGTAGATGGGCACAAACCTCATTTAAAAGGTTGCCAATTCTCCAGCTGCTCATCTCACTAAATATCAGTTAGCCCAAAGCAAGGGCTGGCAATGCAGCAAACTCCAAATTGGATCTGCAAAGTGACCTGATTTAAAAAAGGAAAAACAAAAAAGACAACCAACCGAAACCCCCTAAACTCCCATAACATTTTAAAAGCAGGCTTCTCGCAGCTTGTTTGGAGTGTGCTCCATGGCCTGCACAATTCACCCAGGGCAAGTTCTGCCAGAGGTGGGGGACCTCTCACATTTCCATCACATCAGGGTGAGGTTTTCAGTTCCTCCTCTGTGATTATAACCCAATTATATAAATACAGGCAGAGCTTTTGAAGTACAAAACCACTGCTTCTTGCACATTTACTCAACTGCATTTAAAATATCTGTACTTTCATAATTACAACATTGACAAGTGTTTCAGAGGGAAGGCTAATTTTCTTGAGGAAGAGGTCATACTGAAGTGATTGAGGATAATGTGCTTTAATATCAACAGTACAGACACCATTCTGCTCCACCACAAACTCCTAGAGTGAACCTCTCTGTTTCTGACATTTCAGGATAGTGCTTCATCCCACAGTGACCAGCAGTGCTTGCCAGTTAGAGGCAGTTACCTCTCTAGCCCAGGCTGAAGGGCAGAAAATACTTCTGTTCCCTGTCCAATTGCAAGTCAGAATAGCTTGGGTGAAGCTCACTGGTGGTTTAAGCATTGTGCAGAAGGGTGAAAAGCCACACAGCCCATCAGCTCTGCTGTGCCACTGATGGCTGCCCTTAAACAAGTGGGAGCAGTGAAGTCCTAAGTGATTCTTGCTGCTTGCAAGGATAGATGGGTCTGAGTGCTTCTCAGATTTCAGTTCTACAGAACACAGGGCTGCTTCCCTGCCCTGCAGATGTGTTTTTTAAGTAAGCAGGTTGAAGTCAGCAGGCCCCAGATATAACTGTAAAAGCGACTGTGGAAGTGAAATAAAGACACCCCTAACACAATGTTTAGCTTTGCACTTGGATAGTCCATAATTCTATTTTGCTGTATGTCTGCACTGACCAGAGCTCACTGAGGCCACATAGAAGTTATATTTAAACTGCTATTGCAGGTACCACAGGCAGTGTCATCATGGCACTGATAAAGTGCAGGCTGTGGAGCCCACTTACGAAACCAAGAAAATATGCAGGTGACCACACTCTGTAGCTCACTAGGGCTGTTAGCTAGATACTTTAAAGCTAGTTCTAAGTACAATTCCGCATGCTTACTTAGGCAGTGAAATCAGCTGGGGAAGTTTCTTGCCTCCAGTCACTCTTTTTCACTTATTTTCTTTTCCTGTGCTCTTCCACTGTCCCTCCAGGTGTGCCACTACTACTGTCTGTGAAACTCAGTGGAAATGGAATGCTTGAATTTATCCACATTGGCAGGGGGGAAGCAATACCCAAAAGTTTTTCTCTTGAGTTGCACAGGGATCAGTGGAGACAGGGGCAAGCTAAAGTGATCAAGGCTGGAAGGATTTGCACAAATCCAGTTAGCCACTAGCAAAAACATACATGAAACCATGGTCTCAGAATAGGTATGCCCAGTCACTGCTCTAGTAGTGAACAACAGCCCTTAAACATGCAGAAATGATGCTAGTCCAAATGGTGTTACAGAAAGGATAAATACAATCTCTTCCTGCCAATATTCTTCATTAAAACATGTTGGGTTTGTTCTCTCTAACAGTGACACACTAGAGGCAAGATCTGGAAGAAGGCTGCCTCCTGGAAGCACTGCTGGTGCACAGCATCCTACTGGTACATTTTGTCTTTTTCTTGGCAGCCAAATGTGGGACTCTCTGCTGCCTTTCCCTCATATCAGATTGAGAGGGGCTGTTTCATCAGAAACATAAGAGTGAAATGGAATAAGGAATAAATTAGAAGCAGGACTAAGCTGCCATTGCAGTTCTTAAAATTTGACAGAAAAAGAGATTTGATTATCAGTGTTCTCAAATGATACCACTATTGTAATTGCTAACTCCTTCTATATCCCTCTGTAGCT